GGGGGGGGGGGGTGCTGGTTATATAGTGCTGACTTTTATTATAATGTATTGCTGGGACTTGTAGTCCCGCATAGCTGGTGGTATTCTGCATTGCTGATGATTATGCAGCAATGCAGAATAGCTTCAACTATGTTGGACTACAAGTCCCATCAATGCATTATATTGTGGGGGGGGGATGCTGGGGGTATTCTGCATAGCCGACTTTTATTATAATGTATTGCTGGGACTTGTAGTCCCGCATAGCTGGTGGTATTCTGCATTGCTGTATGATGATTATACAGTAATGCAGAATAGCTCCAACTATGTAGGACTACAAGTCCCAGCAATGCATTCTATTTTAAAGTAGGGGCGCACCTGTGCCAATACTGGGCATTTTCACAATTCATACTCGTGAAAATGCCCCGATACTAAACGCAGATACCGCTGTGCTGTCGAGAGCACACAACGTAGTCGAATTTGCCGACCTCAGCATTTGCGTTTGCACACAGACCAATATTATCGAGGAAATGGATATATTCACAAAGTATTTTGTTTAAATCGTTAATTGTGACCGTTAATAATATTCCATCCATCATTTCCTGCCATGGACGGCATATTATTACCGGTCACAATTAACAATTACAAACGAATACTTTGTAAATAAATGCCGGTTTCCTCGTTAATCCCGTCTGTACGCAAGCGCAGATACTGGGTCGGCGGTCTCGACAGAACACCGGCTCTGAAATTTTAAACAAGTGGCTGCCTGAGGTCCCGCGCATGCTAGGGACCTCGACAGCCTTCCTGTTAACCATGCGGTGCCGTTGGGGGGGCCCTTCATGGTTTCTTGCACCGGGGCCCTGAAGGTTCTAGTTACGCCTCTGCCTGTGGCTGTATGTGTCAGAAGGGACATTAGCCTCTAAGTTTTATTTGGGACAGATAGTAATGTGAGCGGTTCCATGTTCTCTGTGCAGTACTGCAGAGTTTGGCAGCCCTAAGTGAAAAAGCTAAGGTTCATGGATATACCTTTTTAAGATTAAAATGTATGTAAAGGTTAGTTTTGGAGAAAGTGGGGAAGGGTTAGGCGCTCTACCAAGTTTTATCGCTATCTGAGCCCCACTGGGAAGAAACATACCTCTGTTTGTCCTCGTGACTACTGTTACTGAAACAGAAAGCAAGAGGAAATTCTACATTTTAGAGTTGTCATGAAAGCAAATCGTAAGGGTGATCTTCCAATAGGAAAAAAGCCCCGGTGACAATTGTCTAATATGATAATTCCCCTCATTGTGGGTATTTTTTTTGCTTCCTGTTGCATTTCCAAGAGATGAAGTAAAGGGACGTCTCCCCAGCAGGACACAGACCCCCAAAAAAATCTAAGGATCTTAACTGTTCTCTATCATAAAAACAAAACTGTTTTGGTTATGGATGCGCTTTTAATTCTGCATTTATATATGTATCGGCCCATTTACACTGATGCCTTGTCGTAGCAGTGATTCATGCAATATACTGAGTGTTATCACAATGCATTGTAACACAAGCCATTTTGTGCAATGTGTTATTGTTGTTATAAATGTATATTGCGCTCTTCATTTACAATGGTGCACAAACATAGTAGCGGAAAACTCACCCATGCTGCAGCGCATCACATCACATCTATTTTTTCATGCATTAGGGTGCACTGCCAGCGCTTTCAAAATGAATGGACTGCCTTCGTACACCGCATTAACACAAAATAATTTGTTGCTATAAGCCATGTGCTTTAATGCAATGCATAGTGTGAATTGACCCTAGTGGATTTAGGGCAGAGACCGGTATTGGGTCAGTTGCCAAATCTTGCTGTAGACACCTTCGAGGCATAAAAGCAGCTTGTATAGTCTTAAATTGGGAAATGTCATGCAGAAAAATACCTGCTCAGATGAAATCTGGTATTTTTAGAGCACATATTAGTACCGGGTCAGTGACATCACTTGACATAAAGCTGATTGATTCAGCTTCATTGTCCTGATACTACTAATCGGCTACTCAGCACTCAGGAATGTAGAGTTATCTAACAGACATGCATATGTTAAAGTGTCACTAAACACTCTATAGTAAAATGTCATCTTAATCCAGCATACTGTCCTAAACCACGACCATGTACTACAAACTGCAAATTACTTTACAAAAGTCACTTGCACCCCATATCGAATTATAGTCAATCTTTATTGACCATGGTAGTGTCACATTGCTTGGCAATGCGAAACTACCATTGACTATAATCCGATTTGGACTGCGAGTGACTTTTTTACTAGTTACAATTGATTTGCAGAGGCATCTGCAGTCAGTTCAGCACCCGCCTGACTTTTGTGGGTTTTCCGGTCAGGAGTGCGATGGGATCTACTATAGGTGCCCATACACTCTAGCCATAAGGTCTCCACATCTTCTCCACTGTTTGACGTGATATCGTCCCTTATATGCATATTTAGATAGTTTTTAACGTAATTGCAAACCCCCCCCACCCCATCTCCCTCATATGTCCCTCCTGAATAGGTTATACCCCTCTATATTAGTAGCCCAATTCCCCACTAGTTTTATTGTCTGGCCTTGATGTTGGTTGTTCGTTTCTTATTTTATTCACTTCTGACAAATGATTTGCTACATTGACTGTTTCTGCTATTTTAACCTCGGTGATTACTTTAGCTGTGTTGACTGGAGTGAGCCCACTATCTATTCCTCTATTACTTCTTTCTGTATTATTATTTTTTTTTATCTAAGAAGAATTTATCTCCATTTGATTTAAGTAATTTTATTTTTAAGCCTGAGTACGATCTTTTATTTTTAAGCCTAAGTACGATCTGCCTGTCAAGATGGGCAGATCGTGCGTTTTTTAAATTACTTACAACCATCGCAAGACTAAGGTCTTGCGATGGTTATAAAGTGTATGGCCACCTTATGACTTTTACACACCAATTTTTTACGGCTTATCATGCACCCCCCTTTCCCCCACTTTGGCTCTGGTCCCTTCACTTCTGCTTGGTGCAGACTTTCTCAACTTTTTACCATGGGTGTAGGAACCTTTGCAATAGCTTTCAGGGTTCAGGGAACCCCCACAAAAAATATTATATCTACACCTCATGTACATTAGAATAATTAGTAGATTGTATGAGTTTAAAATATAAAAAGAATAAAAAGCGCAGTGTGCTTAAATCCCCACCATATTTGACAAACAATGGCCAGAAAAAAAACAGACTATGAAAATTGAACTGACCCCTTATATTGGTGGTCAGTGTAGCAGTTACCCCTTACATTGTTTGCCAGTGTAGAAGTGACCCCTTATATTGGTGGTCAGTGTCGAAGTAACCCCTTACATTGATGGTTATTGAAGAAGTGACCCCTTACACTGGTGGTCCGTGTAGAAGTGACCCCTTAGATTGTTGGTCATAGTAGAAGTGACCCCTTACATTCACGGACAGTGTAGAAGTGACCCCTTACATTCATAGTCAGTGTAGAAGTGACCCCTTACTTTCATGGTCAGTGTACAAGTGACCCTTTACATTGTTGGTCAGTGTAGAAGTGACCCCTTACATTCATGGTCAGTGTAGAAGTAACCCCTTACATTGGAGGTAAGTGTAGAAGTGACCCCTTACATTTCTGGTCAGTGTAGAGGTGACCCCTTACATTCATGGTAAGTGTAGAAGTGACCCCTTACATTCATGGTCAGTGTAGAAATGACCCCTTACATTGGTGGTCATTGTAGAAGTGACCCCTTACATTTCTGGTCAGTGTGGAAGTGACCCCTTACATTCATGGTCAGTGTAGAAGTGACCCCTTACATTCATGATCAGTGTAGAAGTGACCCATTACATTGTTGGTCATTGTAGAAGGGACCCCTTACATTTCTGGTCAGTGTAGAGGTGACCCCTTACATTTATGGTCATTGTAAAAGTGACCCCTTGCATTGATGATCAGTGTAAAAGTTACCTGTTACACTGTTGCTCTGTATAGAAGTGACCCCTTACATTGGCAGTCAGTGTAGAAGTGACCCCTTACACTAGTGGTCACTGTAGAAGTGACCCTTTACATTGGTGGTCAGTGTAGAGGTGACCCTTTACATTGGTGGTCAGTGTAGAGGTGACCCCTTACATTCATGGTCGGTGTAGAAGTGATCCCTTATACTGCTGGTCAGTGTAGAAGTGACCCCTTACTTTGGTTGTTGCTGTAGAAGTGACACCTTATATTGCTGGTCAGTGTAGAAGTGACCCCTTAGAATCCTGGTCAGTGTAGAAGTGACCCCTTAGAATCCTGGTCAGTGTAGAAGTGACCCCTTAGAATCCTGGTCAGTGTAGAAGTGACCCCTTAGAATCCTGGTCAGTGTAGAAGTGACCCCTTAGAATCCTGGTCAGTGTAGAAGTGACCCCTTAGAATCCTGGTCAGTGTAGAAGTGACCCCTTAGAATCCTGGTCAGTGTAGAAGTGACCCCTTAGAATCCTGGTCAGTGTAGAAGTGACCCCTTAGAATCCTGGTCAGTGTAGACATGACCCCTTACATTGGTGGCTAGCATAGGCAGAAGCCCAATCTGCCACTATCTTCTCCTCAAGGAATCCCTAGCTAACTTTGAAGGGACCCCAAGGTTCCAATGAACCCTAGCTGAGAAAGGCTGGCTTGGTGAGTACGAGCAGTGCACGTATTTGCGGTCATGTTTACTGCTCTCCGAAAACTACAGAGCCCAGTCAGCACTGCGCCTGCTAATTCTACTGCGCATGCATGGGTTGAGGGTTTTTTAACGTAATAAAGGTTTATTAAGATTTAAGATGACGTCATCTCTGAGCCTGATGATGGGGATTCTGTGCGGCCCTGAAAGTGCTTGACATGTGAGAGAAGTCTATCAATAAAAATGGATTTGCACTAATTTGGAAGCTCTTGTGCTGGTGACATCCTTATTGAAGTTTTCATTGTGAGCGGCGCCATCCGCAGTCTTCACGAGCACCTATTATATTTCTTTGGGGATATCCGGTAAGGAGTGCTGCAAGACTTATGGATATTGGTAAAAAATATCCGACACAACAAACATACAAACTCCATGCAGATAGCTTCTCTAGTGGTATTTGAGCAGTAATCCTTGACTGGTAATTATTTGGCCAATGTCAAAGTTAGTTCCCACTTATTTCTGTCTTTGCAGACATCACTGGGAAGGGGAGAAGTTTTGTAGTGTCATGCTATTTCGTTATTTTAGTTTTCCTCATTTTGAGTTTACGTCATCAAACGCAGGTGAACAATAGCAGACGGCCTTATCGCTAATTATAAAGGAGATTAACAAACACAAAGGCATGATTAACATTATGAATCACAATTTCTGTAAAGGGAGACATTCTTTATGTAACTAGAAAGGTTTCTTCAGACAAAGGACTCAGAATAGGGATTAAGGTGCCCACAGACATGATAAAATAATTCTATTGACAGCAGATGTCTGGACAACTGACATACAGGGGTGATTGGTTGTGTTGAACATATCTATTAGGTTTACCAACCATTTTGTAGTGCATGGGAATATCTGATTGGATATAAATTGGACAAATTGTTAAGACTATCTAACCCATAAGCAATAATTTAATACATTGCAGTTTACCATTTCTTAGATGTGATGGCTGTATGTATTTTTTTATGACTTAGTTTCCTTTATTTTCACCTGGTGATCCGGCCAGGAAGTCTATTATTTTTCAACTTCCTTTACCTGACCAAGCGGTCCAGCAAAAGCGTCAGACAAAGGGTTGAATACAGATGTGTCCCCCCTGCACTCCTTACAGCGTCTAGGACCAATAACAGCAGGGGTGCACGTAGTGATGATCACGGATGACGCAGTGCACATCATGTTGTAGTAAGTGCGGATCACCAGCAATCGGAAGATGACGTTAAATCTTTGTGTTCATTTATTAAAGCAAAGCGTCACATATATCACATAGCCAACGTTTTGGGGGCCACGCAGTGTCCCTTCATCAGGGCAACATAGTGGGTTGAGACTAACCATTTAACACTGACAGGGGTGCTTACAATGGTCAGCTTTTATTCATTTATGTAAAATCTTTATCCAAAACAATCAACGGTTGCGGTAACTGCTCAAAAAGTGTCATTTGGAGTTTGGCTTTGTGTGCCAAGTCCATCCAAATTTGCTGGTGCATCTAACACGACACTCCCCACAGGGTGACAATGCTGCTGTCCAAGGCTGGCTCCATTGTCCTTCCATAGAGTGGAGCCTAGGTCGTAATGCCATCAAATACATCACATAGGTCATAATGCCTTGAATATGTCACATTGGCTATAAAGCCATAATGCCACATAGGGATTTTGACCGATGTGATCTATTTGCAGTAAACAAGATGATGTGTACATCCTAAATGACGCAGTGCTGGTACTTTGTATTCTTTAACCCAGGGGGTTAGCAGGGTCACCAGAACTATTGTCCCCAGTGGAAGATTTGCCATCCATGCCTGTTCTGGTGACAACCCCAAATTTGGGATTTTCTTTCACTCTCAGTGATAACGGCCACCAGGACAAATGGAGTGGCTGAATCTCCCTAACAGGACCACGGACAGCAATTACAACCTCACTGGGGTTCTAATCCCTCTACATACTCAGAACTCCTAGGTGGGTGGCATAGTACCAGGAACTTTGGCAGTAATATCTCTTTTCTGATTGATTGAGACAACACAAAAAAATATGTTTTGATATGCTGACCCTTTAATATCAATAACCATTATTTTAAGGTTTTGTTTTTTTTTTGCTCATGACCTGATGGACCAAAAGCACAGTGAGGGGTGAGAAATGTTCCCATCCTTGTATGAATCCCACGCTGCTGGAACCAGCTGCAGACTTCTTCTCAGTCTGGACAGATGGACTCATGTGATGAAAACTATGTTCCTTTTTCTACAAAAATAGATTATAGACAATTTAGCTCAGTATGATCTACAGGCCAAATGAGCATGATTTGTTTCAATTATTACATTACCATGCATGCTTACAATATAATTTAATAGAGAAGACACCAAGTTAGACAATTAGTGACTGGCTAAAAATAGGCCAGTATGTCCTGTTGACAATGCCTTGAGAACAACTGGCTGGGGATATCTGCTGGTACCCACAGATGTAAAAATTGTTCCCAATTCTGGGAAAAATGAACACCCATACTGGAATGTCCGGTAGAGACTATGGGGTTGATTTACTAAAGACAAATGGGCTGAAAATAGGGAACAATCCCCTGCAACTTGCAATTCCCTTGAAAAGTGAACAGCCTATTTTCTTTTAGTAAATCAATCCACAAGGTCTCCACCATGTACCAACTGGATTACAGTTCCTCTTATAGACCTGTTGATAATGAGACTTTTCCATTCCATAAGGTGCTACCTCGGGCTCTGGCAGTGCCCTATCATCAGCTCTCACATGCTCTCGGTCTGCCGCTGATCATTGTCCATGCTGATTTTGTCTTGGCCAACTGGAAAAAGAAGGACCCGCTGGGGTAAGCTCACCTCTCCGACTGTCCACTTAGGTGTTAAATGACCAAAGAGCCATATGGTTCATTGAAACATATAAGGAAGTCTTTGTCTTTCTGTATTAATAGAACACATGTTTTCTATTGTGAAATCTTACACAATAAGGCTTTTGGGCACATTAAAAAGGTTAACGGGTTGGGATAACCTCTGGAAAATCCCTGTCCATACTAATTGTTTGTTTCCTTCCTTCCATTGCTCCTGGGGACTCATGCGAAGGCCTCTAACAATAGAGTAAGTGAAACTCAATTACTTGTATACAACTCTTTGAAGTACTTAAAGGTTTACTTTATTCTTTATTGAGGAACAGGGAATTTGGTATTGATTGCAGTGACGGTCGTCTGGGTGTGTAAGATAAAGTGATATGGGGTAATAGACAGCTATCATGGGCTTCATGGGTTCAGTAACATTACCCATAGACATGGGATGAGGGTCACCTATAACCAAGGGTTTGGTAAATGATTGCAAGTCTATGGAAAGGCTGAAGCATCTACAGATACACTCTGGCCAACCAAACTTAGAAGAACAAAAACAAGTAGCTATATTTTCCTGGATGATCGCTATTGCTTCCATTTTCCGGGTGCCTGAACATGCATTTTGTAACCCAATCATTCTACAATACAGTGACACCAATTACATCTATGAGTAACAAAGAACACTATGATATGCAAAGCCACCCATAATGGCCAATGATATCATATTTTAGTGTGTATTTAGTGAAAGATGAAAAGATGTATTGAATATGCTTGATGGAGTTACAGTATATCTAAAGCCAAAACTTTTTTTTTCTTGGGGTTAGAGGTGGTTGCTATCTAATGGATTCCCTTTACTTCCTGTCCTGTAGATTCAACAGGAAGTGAGAGCATAGCTTTCCATTTTAGACAGTTGCCATTGAAAACTAATGTCCCTGATGGAAGATTTCTCCTTTATGCCTGTTAAAAATTTAGGATTTACCCTCACTCTCATTTAATATTCACCTCTTCCCCTGACAGTGCCACCTGTCCCCTGGAGTAAAGATAAACCACTGGCTGAAGAATCTGCAAAATCCAATACTTTCAGTATTGGTTTTCCAGTACCCTGCTACGTTTAGTAGTTCCCCCCGCTGGCCCACTACATGACCAATAGTGACATAGAAGCCAATGGATCAAACCACTGTGTCTAGCAGGGGTTCAGTAAACTGACATTACTAGAAGTAGTAGATTCTGCAAATTCTTTAGCCAGTGGTTTCCCTTCACGGTTGCAGAGACTGGCAGCATGGCCAAGGGAAGAGGTGAGAATTAAATCTCTTCTTGGAAGGGAACAATTTATTTTACACATTTACTTTAGCAAGACATACACATAATACTTATGGAGCTACCAACCTGTAAAAAGTATAAAGAGATCAGTATCTGTAATTACTATTCACTGGCTGAACACTCATTCTGCATCAGTAATGGCTGATGGGCTTTTGCTTGCTTTAAGGGGGTTTTGCGTTCCCATTCAAGTCTATGGGAATGTGCAACCTGCTTGAGATTAAATGCAGCCCAGAAGGTGGTCAACTGCAGGACAATAAATTTCAATAAATTCTTAAAGGAGTTGTAAAGTCCCAGCATATAGCATTGAGGATGTCCGTACTATTGGCATCTTTAGTAAGTACTTTTACTCTTATAAAGGATGTGGGAGACACAGATCACACACGGACACCAAGAGTGTTTTTTAGGATCCTTGACCAGGGGGTTCTTTAATAGCGGTTCTCAACAATAGGACACAGCAAGTGTAGTAGCAATTCAGGGAGTCCAGGGCAGGAATCCGGGCATGGCAAACGGTTAACAGAAACAGGGCACAGCACGGGTAGAGTCCAGGGACACAGGACAGGAATCCGGGCACGGCAAAGGGTTAACAGCAACAGGGCACAGCAAGGGACGAGTCCAGGGACAAAAGAGGGTCACAAATCAAACCTAAGGCCTCAGGTCACTCCGTAGAAGAAGAGGGATCCACACAGGATGGTAAGGAAGGAGGTGGTCTATAGAGCTGGTCTGTGGAGCCTCTTCAGTGTTCGAGTAGGATCAGGAGTGGAGGGTCTGAGGATCCTTCATGCCCTGGCCACATCCAAGGACCACCAGACAAGCTAGCAGGGCAAAACGTGGGAGCTCGGTGTCTGGACAACAGTTCACAGCTAGTAAGGTACCTCAAGTCCCAGTAGTCCCTAATCATGGACACACATCCAGTGCTAGATGTCCCAGCAGGCCTCAACTTTACAAACTTCCAGATGAATATGGTTATTAGGAGTGGGAGAGAACTTATGGAGATTCAATATAGAAATACAAATGTATTTTTAGTTTTTGACCATAGATACCCTTTAATGATCTCAAACATCTCAAACTGATGCCATCAGCACAAGCCCCAAAGAGCATCTACACATTCCCTAATTTAGGATGTATGGAAAGCTAAGGCGGGTGGCTGGTAGGCATTTGTTAGGAGGTCATTAGAGCTTGCATAATTCCCTCTGCACAGTTTCCCCTAAAGTGTTTAAAGGTCCAGCATTGACTTCACCTTGACCTGACCTTGTTTGTTTCTCAGATAAGCTAAATTTTTCCAGTAATTGTATATCTGGCGACAAGTTTATTTCTCAGCACGGTGACAGATTTCTGCATGCCGTGCGACAGAGTTTTGTAGTTTCACACTGTTCATTAGCACTTGTTTGTTTCTGATACACAGAAGTGAAAGATTTCTTTGAATTTTGGGAAAAAGTTGCAGGATGATAAGAACACAGGAAATGTTTCTTTCTTATTTTAATGGGATATCAAAGATTTAAGTGTGTTTGATTTGAACTATAATCACCCGAAGACACAGCAACTTTTTCTCCCAGCAGCTGCATTTATATTGTTTTCCTCATCTTGGAGGAACAGAACATTCCCAAGCATTTATCGCTGGTCCTGCAACGCTGTAGTATATTGTGAACCAAATTTTGTTTCTTAAACGTGTTTTTTTAAAGTAGAACTCCAGGCAATCAAAAAATTAACCCTTGCAGAGGCTTACCCTGCATTGCAAGGGTTAACTGTTTGTTTTGGTCTAGGGGCTAAAATAAATCCTTATCCTCAGTCCTGCGGCAGAGGTAGCGGTGGTATGTCACTTGGCGTCCTCGCGTCTAATAGACCTGCATTAGATGTGATGACATCATGGATCCTTAGACTGCTGGAGCCTGGGGAGAAGAGGTCCCTAGACCATACACGCAGTCAACCAGTGCAGTGTGGGGGTAGCACCTCCTATGAGGATTCAGGTTTTCATGCTGTCATGTTTCATAAAGCCAACTAGAAGGTAACAGTTAAGTGTTTTACTACCCCCCCTCCCCCC